CGCATATGTTAGAGGAAAGGTAAATATTCGTATTTGCTGACGGTGAGACTTTGCGTCAGTTGTGGGTCCTCACAGCCTGCTTCGGCTGCCCCAAGCATCGGGAAACTCCTGTCTTCTGCTTCCCACCCTGGTCCCCACTTCCCCTGCCATCAGCTGGTGTGAACTTGGCCACACACAATTAGGAAGGAAAACTGCTCAGGCAAGGAAGCAGCGTCACCTCTCCTGGAGCCTTTCTTTTCCTGCCTGGCTGTTTTTTCAGTCCCAGCTCCCAGGCCCTGAATGTGCATGCTGGAGAGGCCATCAGAACTCCCTTGGAGTGGGTGGAGGACTTGGCTGTTCCCAGTCCAGCCTCCGTGCCTGCCCCCTGAGTTACTGCTTTTACTGAGGGCACTGTGGTGGTAATCCATAGACTCGTGGACTGCTGGGACATATTTCCGGCTGGAAGTGGCATCTGCCAGCCTGAGGGGCTGAGGCTGCTGGGGCTGTGCCCTATCTAATGACTGTCACGGGGCCTGGAGTGAGGGACTGATGCACTGAAGCCCCCTTACCCCCACAGAGCCCTGCAAGTCTGGCAGAGGCCACCTGTCCCTGGGGCCAGGGAAAGGGGGCCTTTGGGTACTAGTGGCCATTAATGCTGCTCTGCACATTGGAAATGCCGGGCAGAGCTGGGCACCGTGGAGGCAACAGAGGACCCCAGGCGTTCCTCCCATCTCAGCCTGCTGTTCCCTTTCAGGCCCTGACATTTCTCCCAGGCACATACCAGCACATGACAATGAATCTGAGCCCCTCCAGGCCCCCACACCCGGGCTGCGGCTGTCTCCGCTCATCTGTCAGTCACCCGATCCCCCACACCTGTTCCAGGCATAGCCTGTGAGCTGCCCACCCTCACGCACAGCTATGAATAGGGTGGAGAGAAGGTTGCAAGGGGGCACTCACAGGGCAGGGGGCGGCTCTCATTTTTTCTTAGGCTAAGAAGCATAGCTTGTTTTGGGGAGGTGCTCACCGTGGGGGGATATGAGGGTGGACAGGAAATGTCAGGAGTATATAGTTGCAGGAGAAGGAGTGGGCTGTATGTAATTAGAAGGATCCAGGCACTGAGGACCTGACAAGGTGCTCTCGGGCGGGTCGTCCGTGTGGCCAGCTGGTGTCTTCTGGGTCTGTGCAGTGTGACCACAAGCTCTTTTTCTCCCCTGGCCTCTACCCCCAGAGCCTGATTCTATTTGCTTTCCCAGTTACAAGTTCCCTGAGAGCAGAAACAATGTCTCAACTTCTCTGGGCCCCCCTGCCTCTAGCAGTGCTGGCCTGGGCTGGATAAATGAGTGGCTGAGTTGTGGGAAGAGCCAGGGAGCCAGAGCTGATGACAGAAAAGTGTATTTGAGATGGGGGTGGAGCTGGGGTGCAGAAAGCTCAGGGTGAGCAGGACTGGTTAGATTCCTGCTTATGACTGAGGGACCTTGCTCTTCTCACTGATGCCACCTGGAGGTGAGAGGGTGAACAGCCGCCTGCAACCTTGATTGAAGTCCCACCCTGCCAAGGACCTGGGGTAGAGCTTAGTTGTTGCTTCCAAGGAGCATCCAATCTGGAAGGGGACAAGGACGTCTGGACAGATTATGACAGATAGGGTAATGGAGGGGGATATACCAGTTGCTCCTGGGGTCTGGGGGGCAGCTGCTGCCTCTGTGTGTCTGTGTCTGGAAGAACTGGAAGATATGGGTGCCAGTCCTTCCCAGCTTGGCACACAGCATTCTTCTAAGGTGGCACATGAATACGCTTTTTTTTAGTTAATAGTTATAAAGTTGGCTGGGCTCCGTAACTCATTCCTGTAATCGCCCCACTTTGGGAGGCCGAGGCAGGAGTATCACTTGAGCCCAGGAATGGCAACATAAAGCCCTATCCCTATGTTTCAAAATAATTTTGTTTGAAAATATGAAAAGTAGTTACAGGCCAGGCATGATGGCTCACTCCTGTAATCCCAACACTTTTGTGAGGCTGAGGTGGGCGGATCACTTGAGGTCAGGAATTTGTGACCAGCCTGGCCAACATGGTAAAACCCTATCTCTACTTAAAAAAAAAAAAAAAAAAAAAAAAAAAAAGACAAAATCTAGCCGAGCATGGTGGTCGGGATGCTGAAGCAGAAAAATTGCTTGAACCCCGGAGACAAAGGTTGCAGTGAGCTGAGATCGGGACTGCATCTCAAAAAATAAAAATAACGTTATATAGTTATTTCCATATATATTAAAGAGGATAAATCCTTGATTTCATGGATTTATTACTTAGAATGGAATTAAGGAATAAAAGTGAGTTGATTTAAAAGGATCAGGACTGCAGTAGATGGCGCATGAATGCAGCATTGGTCAGAGGGGCCATGTGTGGCTGACGGCTGAGGGTCACCACCGTTGATGCCTGACCTCAACTCTCGATGTTCCCTGCCATGTCCAGTGTGTCCTTCCCAGGCAGCTGGGCTTCCTGCTAGTGGCTCTGCAGGCACTGTTCACATTTCCGGCCTGTGCTTCTAGCTGCAGCATGTCCTGAGCACACAAACTGTCCCCCAGCCCCTTTTTAGGAACAGTCTGACAAACTCAGTCTCCTAGGAGGAGCAGGTGACTTAGAGAAAATAGCAGACAGGTCAGGTGCAGTGGCTCACACCTGTTATCCCAACACTTTGGGAGACCAAGGTGAGAGGATCACTTGAGGCCAGCCTAGGCAACAGCAAGACCCTGTCGCTACAAAATATTTAAACAATTAGCCAGGTATGGTGGCACATGCCTATAGTCCCAGCTACTCAGGAGGTTGAGGTGGGAGGACTGCTTGAATCCAGGAGTTCGAGGCTGCAGTGAGCCATGATCACACCACTGCACTCCAGCCTGAGCAACAGAGCAAGACCTCGTCTCTAACAAAAAAAAAAAAAAAAAGAAGAAGAAGAAGGAAAAGAAAAAGAAAATAGGAGACAGAAAGCCCTCCTCTGGTCCCGTTTGCCTTGGGCCAGTCACAGCCACTTAAATCTGGCCCGGCAGAGGCCTGAGCCACCTCTGCCATGCCCCCCTTCCCCACACACTGCCTGTGATGCGCCATCTCCTCCCTCCCAGCATCACAGATGGAGACAGAGTGGGGAGACTGAGGCAGCCCAGGGTTGCAGAGGTGGGTGTTTGAGATTAGCACCGCTGTCTGTGGCAGAGGCTGAGCCTGACTCGAATGCTCTTTTTCCCTCATGGCCTCATCCAAGCCGAGGCAGATGCACTGAACCATATGCCATTCTGTTTCAGCGTGAAAACAGCCTTTCCTTCCTCGTCATAAGCATAGTCCACCCTCATTCTGCTCTGTAGCCTGCTCTCCCACTCAGTGTGTTTGTAGTCATCCATGGTAATAAATGCAGGTCCTCAGCGTTTTTTGTGGCTACATAATGTTTCCATTGTGCTATAGACAGTCAACACCCCCTGCCAGTCTAGAGAAAGGTCCTACTCTTAAGAAAGCTTTTCTCCAGAGGAGAGAAAATAATGACTGAGTGTCCCCTCATGGCCAGTAGTAGAATTGCTCGGTGCCTGGCTCTGAATCCGGCCAAAACCTTCCGGGGGTTCTGGGGATCCCTTATATCTTTGCATAGAAGAGCCTTGGTGTCAGAGCCTTGGTGAAGGCCTGGGGCTCTGCTGCATTCGGAGGGCTGCACTCTGGGTGCAGCTTGCAGTGATTTTAGACCAGTGGCGTGGGAGGAGCGGCCTCCCCTGAGAATAAGCCTTTTGTGATGTGCCTGCTCATTGCTTCTGACTCTTGACTTGTTCTCTTAGCACCCCTGGCTCAGATGGGGTGATTTGATGTGGGGCTGAGGTTCTGGGTGTGGGGATCCCTAAGTGGCCTAGGGCTTCAGGAATATGGTTCCTGCCTCAGAGTCAAGTTGTCTCATCTGGTACCTTCCTTTCTTCACTGTGGCTCCCTGCCCATTTGGGACAGGTATTGGGGTTGGAGCCTGAAGACCTAGGGTCTTTCCCTTACCAGCAGGATGGCGTTGGGCAAGGCTAACAGTCAGGACCCCTTGTGTATAAAACTGAGGCTGTGGTTTTGGGCGTGAAATCGGCACCATCTTACTCCGCCTTTTCTAGAAGGGAAGTTTTGGATTAGCCTGACATCCAGCAGGAGGCCCTCTGGGCCCTGTTTTCATCAGGGGAAGGAAGAGCAGCCTGTCTGAGGCAAGGTGAGAAGCTGACTTAGAGGACCAGTGGCTGGGCCTATGAAGGGCCTTGTGAGCCAGGCTGGGGACTGAGACTCCTGTCCTTTGTGACTCAATGAGACAGTGCAGTGACTTGTCTTCTCCCAGAGAAGTTAAGAGAATGAACCAAAGGGAGGGGCCGCTGATGCTGTAGAGATTGCTCTGGAGGCTGAAGCAGAGATGTCAAAAGATCCAAGGTGGTGGGACTCAGCAACGCCTAGCGGGGCGAGAGGCCAGCCCCAGAGCCGTTTCTAAGGGAGCATCAATTGGGTCTCCGGTGAGACCAGAGGATGAGATGGGAGCATCCTTCACCCCTTCCACCCTCCCCTCTGCCGGTCTCTTGTCCTGGCTTTCTGTTCTCTTGCTTCCTGCACTATCAAAATTTACTCTGGAAGGATTCTGATAGAGGCATTCAAACTAACACAGAGCTGGCTGGTAGAGATTCAAACCTTTGCAGTTCAACAAAAACAAAGTCTTAGACTATGAAACTTGAAATCCTAAAGATGGAATCTGGGGCTCCCACCTACTGGGTGTGTTAGTATCTGGGCGGGCAGTGGTGGCCTGAAACTATTTGGGTCCCAGTGTCCTCTTTTCCCGTGATTTAGGCAACACGACCTGATTTTGTAACAGGCTGAGATGTAGAGGTTGGTGGACACTTTCCAGCGTCCTACTGTCTACCCTCAGTCTGATTTCTCCCCAGCCCTGGAACTGGGACTGGGACCCCGAGGTCTCCTTGATGCTCCCCATCTGACATGGCACCTGCTAACCACTCCCTCGGCTTCCCCCTGTCTCCCTCCAGGCAGACCTCAACACCAACATCGAGGATGAAGGCAGCTCCTTCTACGGGGTCTCCAGCCAGTATGAAAGCCCCGAGAACATGATTATCACCTGCTCCACCAAGGTCTGCTCTTTCGGCAAGCAGGTGGTGGAGAAGGTTGAGGTAGGAGGCCACCCTGCTGGGTGAGAGACGGTGGCAGTGGTCCTTGTTTGCTGGGCATGACTTCCATTTGTTTTCAGGAAGAGTGCCCTGCGCTAGGGAGCCAGGACAATTCCTCGTTGCCTTCGGTCTCTGCTGTCAGTGCTGCGTGCCTCCCACATTCCCCTTGGCGCTATTCTGCCCAGCTCACCAGAGCATTGCTGCCCTTCCAGGCTGGGCCTGCATCTTCCATGCACGTCATTACAGGCACCCCTGGTCCTCTCCAAGAGCAGAGCCACAGCCCAGGCAGGGCCTCGGGGCATCTACACAGTCCAGCCCTCTGCTTCACAGTGGAGGCCCAGAGAGAGCAGAAGGCCTCTCCCTACTGCTGCCTTGTGGCCACACAGCTCACGGTGCAGAAGCAGGGCCAGGCGTCTAGGATCTCTGTCCCCTGCTCACTTTTACCCCATGAATGCCCAAAACTCTTCCTTCCCTGATTTTCTACTTGTGGGTACCCCAGAGACCCTGCTCTAGTGGAAGTTAGAGAGACTATAGTCCCTGGCCAAGGGTGGTGCAGGACAGTGGCGAGGAGCACAAGCTCGGGGAATCCTTCCCCCCCAGCCACACTTGGTGGGTGTTGTGATAAAATCCTCTGTTTATCTTTAAACGAGGGCAAAGTCACCTTCCCTGTTGGTGACGCAGACTCTGGCAGCACCCTGTGCTCTGGGCCTGCTACGTGGTGGCAGTGACAAGGAGCTGGGACTAACGGCCTCCAACCCAAAGCACCTGTGGACTCTGAGAGTCTGGGAGCCTGTACAGCCCACACACTCGCTACACCAGACCTCCTCCCATGCAGGCCGGCCTCCATCCCTCCCCTCACCCCTGCCCTCACATTGGTCGGTCTGAATTAATGAAGTCTCAATCTCACAGCCTGTCAGTCCTTGATAACCTTCCTCATGCCAAGGGCAGCCAGATGCCAGGCCAGCACCAGGGAAGGGACACTCTTCCATCCAGTGCTTCTCCACCTGCTGCACCTTACAGTCTCCTGGGAGCTCTGGAAACACACCAGTCCTGAAACCCATTCACACTCCCCAATCTCTAGGGTAGAGTCCAGGCATTAGTGGTTTTTAAAAAGTTCCTCAAATTATTTATTTCAAATTAAACTTGTAAAAACTTTGGAGATAATTGTGGATCCACTTGGGACCATAATCCTGTGTGCCCCTCACCCAGCTCTTGCTCTGGCGATATCTTGCATAACTAGAGTATAATGTGGGCAACCAAGAAATTGATGTTGATGCAGCCCACCAGTCCGGTTCAGATCTCACCAGTTTTATATGCAGTCCTATATGCACGTGCATACCTGTGCGTAGGTATGGAGATTTGTGTGATCACCACCAGACTCCCAGTGGGCCCTGTGCAACCAGCAGTGTCCTCGTGTAGAGCCAGGATTGAGAGGTGCCTACCCTGCTCTTGTGTCTCCTTAAGCTCCCCTCCTGCCATCCCCAGTTCCTGCTGGCCACCTGTGGAGGAAGGAGGTCTTGTTTAATGTCCACCAACCTAAGAGGGTGACTGTTCTCTCTTTCTCTCTCTCTCTCTCTCTCTCTCTCTCTCTCTCTCTCTCTTTTTTATGAGACAGTCTCACTCTGTCACCCAGGCTGCAATGCAATGGTACGATCTCAGCTCACTGCAGCCTCTGCCTCCCAGGTTCAAGTGATTCTCCTGCTCAGCCTCCAGAGTAGCTGGGATTGTAGGCGTATGCCACTATGCCTGGCTAATTTTTTTATTTTAGTAGAAATGGGGTTTCACCATGTTGGCCAGGCTGGTCTTGGACCCCTGACCTCAGGTGATCCTCCTACCTCAGCCTCCCAAAGTGTTGGGATTACAGGTGTGAGTCTTTGTGCGTGGCTGGGGGTGACTCTTTTCTCAAGGGCCCCTGGACCTCCTGCGTTTCCGGTCACCAGTGACTGGGTCCTGGGGCTTCCCATGAGATGGGTCTGGGCTGGAGGTGGTCAGAAGGGATTCTAAGCCCTTGCTGTCCCCGGGTCCTGCAGACAGAGTACGCTCGCTACGAGAATGGACACTACTCATACCGCATCCACCGGTCCCCGCTCTGCGAGTACATGGTCAACTTCATCCACAAGCTGAAGCACCTGCCCGAGAAGTACATGATGAACAGCGTGCTGGAGAACTTCACTATCCTGCAGGTGTGCGGCGGGTGCTGTGGCTGTGGCTGGAGTCTGTCCGTGGGTAGCAGCAATGGCGTGCCGTCATCTGGGGCCTTCTTAACCCTTGACTTTTTCCTCTCCCACAGGTGGTCACCAACAGAGACACACAGGAGACCTTGCTATGCATTGCCTATGTCTTTGAGGTGTCAGCCAGCGAGCACGGGGCTCAGCACCATATCTACAGGCTGGTGAAAGAATGAGAGACTCGGGGAGCAGGGAGGGGGGAAGAGACGTGTGTGCAGGAAATGGGGACGTGGGGAGGGGACCTGCAGGGGCAGCCCCCTGAAATGCCAAGAGTGCTGAGAGGAGCGGTTGTGACTCTACCCAGGAACAAACTGTGCCTGAACCTGCGGTGCCCAACCCCAAATAAACCCAAGATGCTCTGTATTTTCAGAGGACCTGGTCTGGCTGTGTGAGCCTCGGGAGGGACTGGGGGAGCAATGGGGCCATCTGGGAGGCAGGCCAGAAGCAGTGCTCAGAGACATAACCCAGGCAGTTCTGAAGCCAGCGCCCCAATGGACTCAGCCAGGAACATCACTGGACCCTGGAACCGAAGATGTGACGGTCCCTGTGCTGCCACTCAAGCCCCTGCACTGTGGCGCTGGCCTCGCCGGAGGCCCGAGGAATACATGGGCCACGCACCCATAGCCACGCGCACCCCTGCTGCGCTCCCAGGACAGTTCATACAGGGAGGCCTCATCCCCTGGGGGGCGGGTTTTAGGCGTGGAGGTGACGGTTGTTGGATGGGGACATCGTCTAGAGCTCTGGATAGTTTCCGTCGATCTCAGTGGATGTGGATTCCTTGGCCGTCTTCCATGACCACATTGGAGGCCCTGGGCCCAGATCAAAGGAGCCTGAGGCAGGGATGGCAGGAGGCGGCAGGGCTGAGGCCGGGTGGAGGACTTCCGGTGGGAGGCTGGTTGCACCAACATCCTTGGCTGTGGCTAGGAGGCTGAGAGGTCTGTGGTGCTCTGCTGGTCCCCAAGAGCCATCGGTGCTTGTGGGCCTGGTTCAAACTCCCTCCCAGCCAAGGTGCCCATGAGGTGGAGGCCCCCTCAGAGCCAGCCCATGCCGGCTAACCTCTTCTCTAAGGGGTAGTTTCTGTGCTCTCTGGGGTGGAGGCGCCTCGACTTAGATCCACAGCTGAAGGGGCTCCTGGGTTTATTTCTCCTGAGAACTGGTCTGGGCTCTGGGTTTTGCCGGTCCTGGCTTCGGTCCTAGTAGTCTAAGCTGCCTGACCGTGGGCAAATTGGTCAGCCTGTCTGAACCTAGTGCCCCTTCCTCTCTGTGGAGTGGGAGGAGATGAAGTCTGAAGTGCCTGGTGCGAACTGCACTCAACACACCTGAACATGAGCTCATCCCTCCCGTCCACGGGGAGGCCTGAATCTGGCACCTTGCTGCCACCTAGTGGCTCTTTGGGGTCATCTTCCCACCTAGGAATCACAGATCCTAGAGCAGAAAGGGAAGGAAGATTCAACCGACGGGTGTTTGTTTATTGTGTGTCTGGCACTTGGGGAGATCCTGTATGGGACTGTGTACACGAGTAAGGCAGCATCTAAGGGGGGTCATGGAGTGTGGTTAGCAGCGAGGGCTCTGGAGGTGGACCAGCTACAGACTAGCTGGGTGACCTTGGGACAAGTTATTTAATTTTGCTGTGCTTCAGTTTCCCCATCTGTATGATAACAGTAACCTACCTCACTATCTACAGTGCCTAGCGCCACACAGAAACGTGTTCACCAAGTTAACGTTGTAATCATAGGAGTCTGCAGTCTTGTTACGTCAGACTGGAAAACGCTTAAGTGAGCCTGCGAGCCACTGGTGCTCAGACTGGAGAGATTGAGGTGCAGAAGACTCAGGGAAGGGTAGTGCTTGCGGGGAGCTGCCCATAAAGGGTGGGCAGCATCTAGTAAAGCAGATGGAGGTAAGTTGACCCGCATCCCAGATTTGGGGAAGAGGCCAGCAACCCAGTCTCCCTCTCCACGGCCCAGCACCCACTGTTTTACCAAAGAACAGCTTTAACCGGCCCCTCTGGGCATCTAGACCTCATGCCAGGCTGCGGAGCTGTGCAGTCTGCAGGCCCAGCTCTCATCAAAAGCTGGGGCGTGGGCTCCTGGGGAGCCTGGGGTCGGATGAGCCCCTGAGCAGGTGGCAAGTGCCCACGTGTCCCAGCATGGGTTTGTGTTTGTATAAGGCTCTCCTGCCCCCACCCCCAGGCACCAGCATAGGCTTTGCCCTCGCTCTCCCCTCCTCTGTTCCTGGGGGATTGAATAATGGAAGCTGGTGTTGGCTGTCCTAGCTTGACTGGCAGCACCAGTGCTGTGATGGAAGGATGTGTTGTGCCAGCAGCCTCTTGGCCACAGGACAAATGCACATTTAAGGAGATAACCTTTTTGTGTCCTGGCTGGGAAGGAGGTCAGTGCAGATGTTTTTGGGTCCAGGTATTGGCTGAGTTTCCAGGTGGGGAAAGGCAGCGGGTGGCCCAGTGGCGCCTCCTCACTGGGTGAAGGCTTTGGACTTGACCCGGTGAGATGGGAAGTCCTAGAAGTGTGTTAAGCAAGGGAGTCTTTTTGATCGGATTTTCTAGAAAATGACAGTGGGCTGCTGTGGACCTCAGAGAGGCATGTGTGCTTGTGTGTTTCAAGGTCTTCCCACTAAACTCGGGCCCACATTTCCTGGTTCTGTGTGATGAGTGAGCGAAAGCGCATGGCAGGCGGTCATGTCACGTGGGCCTGTGAGGTGAGGAAGGGTCCCTGAGCCCCGTGGGGATAGAGACTCCTCCACCATTCTGACATGATCAGAGTTAGCAGGCAGCACTGTCCAGATGGACATGGGGATGGGAGACGGGCCATCTGTTGCAGTGGGTCCAGCGATGAGGATGAGCCAGCAGACTGTTTCCCACTGGCCCCCATCTTTCCGAGCGGGATGATCTTTCTAACAAACCCTCACAGGAGTTTGGTGTGTGTGTGTGTGTGTGTGTGTGTGTGTCTTCCCTTTCAGGACAGAAGCCAGTGAGGTGAGGGGTGATACGGTTGGCCTCCCAGCTCCCGTATCCTGTATGAGCTTAGAGCATGCACCTGCTCCCTCTGCTGTGCTGAGACTCAGAGGACTCTGGGCAGGTGGCAGTGGTGGAGGGTGGGGGTGTTGGAGGGCCATGGCTGTGCTGGCTGAAGCTGCATCAGGTGTGTGGCACAGATCGGGGAGGTGAGGTGGAGGCAGTGTGTTCCACCCAGTGGGTCCTGTGTTTGACCTCTTCATACACTCTCTGTTGTATTAGGTCTCAGAATGAAAACGAGACACATTTCCCCAATCTGTGTAAGCTGTTCTTAAGAACTTAAACTTGACCAGGTGCAGTGGCTCATGCCTGGAATCCCAGTACTTTGGGAAGCCGAGGTGGGCAGGGAACCTGAGGTCAGGAGTTTGAGCCCAGTCTGGCCAACATGGTGAAACCCCATCTCTACTAAAAATACAAAAATTAGCCAGGCATGGTGGTGTGCACAGGTAATCCCAACTACTTGGGAGGCTGGGGCAGGAGAATCCCTTGAACCCAGGAGGCAGAGGTTGCAGTGAGCCGAGACTGCCATTGCACTCCAGCCTGGGTGACAAGAATGAAACTCTATCTCCAAAAAAATAAAATAAAATGAATTTAAGCCAGGCCAGTGATTGAACTGACCTCTTACAAGTCACATGGTCTTAGACAGACACCATCTTGGGAAGTTCATGACCTCATTTGCGAAATGGGAATAAACACTCTGAGCGCTTGGGGAATGTGAAATGTGGGTGTAAAAATGTCCCCCGACTCTGCCCTTCCCACCCCTAAAATACATGCACATGCACGCATACTTATTTTCAGAGAAAAAAAAAGCTCTAATGTCTCTCAAAGGTGAGGAGAAGGCCTTGAGTCTTGGCTTAGCGAGGACTGCCCAGCGCAAGGTTGTGCTTTGGACTTCCATCCTCACCCTGGTGTCAGGAAAGGGGAGGGAGTGTTGTAAATTGGATAGATCACTTTGTGGCCCATTGAAGGGAAAGAGCCCCCAAGGGAAGGTCTAGAAAGGAAAGACAGGCTGGGTGCTGTGGCTCACACCTGTAATCCCAGCACTTTGGGAGGCTGAGATGGGAGGATCACTTGAGGCCAGAAGTTCAAGACCAGCCTGGGCAACCCCATCTCTACCCCCCCAAAAAAGAAAAATTAGGCCGGGCACAGTGGCTCATGCCTGTAATCCCAGCACTTTGGGAGGCTGAGGTGGGTGGATCATGAGGTCAAGAGATGGAGACCATCCTGGCCAACATGGTAAAACCCCGTCTCTACTAAAAACACAAAAATTAGCTGGGTGTGGTGGCATGCACCTGTAGTCCCAGCTACTCAGAAGGCTGAGGCAGGAGAATTGCTTGAACCCAGGAGGCAAAGGTTGCAGTGAGCCGAGATCGCGCCACTACACTCCAGCCTGGCGCCTGGCGACAGAGTGAGACTCTGTCTCAAAAAAAAAAAAAAAAAAAATTAGCAGGTCATGATGGCATGTGCTTATAGTCCCAGCTATTTGGGAGGCTGAGGTGGGAGGATCGCTTGAGCCCAGGAAGTTGGGTTTGCAGTGAACTGAGATTGCATCACTGCACTCCAGCCTGGGCAACAGAGTAAGACCCTATCTCAAAAAAGAAAAAAGAAAAGAAAAGAAAGGGAAGGCAGAGCAAATGGAGGACTAAACTACTCTAAGAAACTGTCAGGCAATCTGACTTTCATTTGGCTTCCTGAGAAACGGCCGGGAGAGGTGGTCAGGTGCCTTCGTAGAAGGCGGGAGCCCCACTGGTGACAATGTCTTGAGCCTTCTTAAGCTCATGAATTCTAATACTCAGCTTTCATTTTTTTGTATTTTTGCTATGTAAACCCCCTTTACCTCTCCAGATCTTCAGTAAAGTCTGCTACATACACAAAGTCCTTTTTGTGGGTGATCTTTTTCTTGGAAATGACAGAGGTGACACCTGTCCCCGGAACACAGAGGTGGCAGCAGCAGGTCGCAGCCACCGAGGCGGTCACGGCCTGAAGCAAGGCAGTGGAAGCGGGACTCAGAGGTGCAAGCTGCCCAGCCTCCCACCCAGCCATCCTCTCAGAGAATGAAAAGCACTGGGGGATGCCTCCAAGCCTGGGGTCAAGTTGGGGTCAAGTTCAAGCCAGTGTCACTGGGCTACCCGGAAACAAGTGTCTCCCTGGCCACGTGGTTGTATCAGTCCTTTACCGTCCCCAGGCAAGGTTCCAGGAGGGAGTTCTGTCACCAGGTTCTGTGAGCACTGCTCCTTTAGAAGCAACAATAATGGACACAGACCCACTGGATTTGAAGAGTGATCAGAGGGGATCAGGCAGGGGCTGGCAAGATGTGGTCCCAGCTTGGCATCCT